GAGTCTTAAAAATGGTTAAGGCTCTAGACTAGTCTAGAGATCCTACTCAGCTCAAAAATCACAGATAGCTTCCATAAGACTCCTTAAGTCAAAAGACATATAGTTCAGTACTGCTGTGATTTCACCCTGATGGACAGTTACACTGCACCTGAACTGCTCTCTCATTCCACTTCCACAAAGGAAAAGCAGGACAGAAAATACAATAGAAAAGGGCTCAAGAGTTGAGATAAGGATAGGGAGATCATTTACCATTTACTGTCACGGACAAAACGCACAGCTCGGGGAGATCAGTATAATTTATTGCCTATTACTAATGGACTAGAGGAATGAAAAACTAAAAGCAAACTAAAACACCTTCACCCTTCATCCATCCTCTTTTATCTCCTCCCTCCCACCCCTTTCTACCTACTCCCTCCACACTGGAGCAGGGGAATGAAGGTCGTGCTCAGTCCCTAAAGCTCCGTCTCTGCCATTCCATCATGGTCACTCCCTTTTCCTGCTCCAGAGCAAGGACTCTCCCACAGAATGCTCTCCCTGAACTGATCCCTCGTAGGTGTCCCACAGGCTGCAGCTCTTTAAGAACTGCTCCAACATGGGTCTGTACTACGAGGCCCATGTAACTATCTAGCTCACCTCAACTCAATTCAAAAGGTTAACATTCCAACAAGTGTAACATCCTGGTATTCCTAATCAGAAAGCTGATCTGAGGATCTTCACTTTCCATTTTGCAGGGAGGCCTAGATTACCTTCATGGGAACAGTACCAAGATCTGTGTGTGATCTAGTATTTGGGGCAAAAACATGCTTATGGAATTAGTAATAATTTTCTGTAATAAAAGACCAAACTGAAGTTATGTCATCACCTGCTATGTGCTTACTAAGAAGTTCTGTTTGATGAACAGTATGTAATATAATTGCTTCTTTCAGTTTACCACTAAGAGTGCAATAGAGATGTAAAATAACGATGGTAATTAAAACATATGATGCTATTTTTGTAACCTGCCCAGTTCTAGCTTATCTGAAATAAACAGGTCAAAATAAATAAAAATCACTCCTGTGTTACAAACTCTGACCTTGTTGAAAAGATTTCTTCTGTGTTTTCACCACTCCATTAAGTACATTTACAATCTCAGTAACTCCATAATTATAGATACATAATTACAGATTTAACAGATGGGAAAAATAATTAACAGGTGAAATGAGATCAGTGGCCACAGCGACAGCCTGACAGGCACCAAGGAGCTCCTGGTCAACATTCAAATTGCTATATTAACTCTGCTTTCCTAAATAACCAATATGATACATACACACACCTTCTGTCTCCTCAACTACAGTAAGACAAAAATGCAATCCATTAAATAGCAACAAGAAATGAATGTGGAACAGGAAAACAGCAAAAGAGCATACCTGCATCTAGTGACACTTGGGATAAATCAGAAAGTGCTGTGCTCCATGGCAGAAACTATAACAACTTTTTTGCCATTAGAAAGAATTGATAGCACTCTCCCTCAATCATTTGCAGGCGGCTTGTGAAAGACAACAGAACTTTTAGGAAGGCAGAAGAGACTAACCATATCAAGTCAGATCATCTAGAAACTCTACCATGCAACAAATCTAACTGAATATAGCAATACGTTGTTCCTCGTAGAGCAGTCCTGCAGATTGCTTAGCAAAGGTCCATCCAAAGGTATTCCAAAACCAGTAAGATTAAATTCAGAGTAAAATATTATTTTTTTTTTATCTTTAAAGAAAAACAAAAATAAAAAAGCTACATTATTCTGCTGATCTGATAAACAGAGATAATTATCTTTTGAGTGGTAATGATTGTTACAAATATGCAGAGAAGTTATTATTCTATTTGGCAAAGTTTCTGTATAATACAAACCAAGAATCCCCTTGCCAGACTCTGGTATTCCATCAGTCAGGAACCATTTGCAGTTATCACTTCTGGCATATTGTTCCTGGTGTCTGCTCCATCTGCCCTATCTTACTGCTATGTAACATGTCTTAAATTACCCAGTTTTCTTCCTATATGCAGAAATATACCTTTCTTTCTATATGCAGAATATATCAGAGGCAATGAAATATGTCAAGTAAGAAAACAAAGCAATTAAGACCTTCTAAATAACAATTTCTGTAAGGCCTAGGCTTTACTATGGAATTATTACTTCTCTAGTCCATGGGTCCAGGCCACTATTTTTCTAAGCTGAATGAGACCATAGGAACAAACAGAACATTACTAGCTCTGCCTTGGACTCTTAATGTATGCTGAGTATTCACCCAAATGAAAACATGTCTTTTGCTCACAAGCACAGCATGATTGAATCCTGGTAACAAATAAATATTTGGTGCTATACTGTTGCTAATAAAATTTCATGGCTGTACACATATTTTACTTAAAATTACTTTCACATGCTGCCAACCAAAACCTTTGCTTGGTTGCTTTCATACCTAATGAAATAGTATTACCTGGCAGCATCTACATTTTTCTCTTGTGAATGTACATGAACTGTGAACACCTTGTAAGATATTAATGCATTTACTTCAGTTTTTGGAGTTTAGAAGAGAAAAAAAAAAAGAAGGGAAAAATGGTACTGACAGCTGGTATAGTTCAAGACATTAGAAAATCCACCCTGGAATTAATACACTGCATTGTTGAAGTGCATTTGTTTCAATAAAGCATTCTTTTTCTCCTATCAGCCTTATTTTGAGCAGTGGCATAGAGTCACAACTGCTGATACAGGTTACCCTGAACTGCAAATACTTTCCATCTCTTACTTGCAAAACAGTTCGTAAAGTGCATTGAAGCAAAGAAGTGTCACCTGTAAAACTCCAAGCTGTTTCCATTTATAGCACAAGATCATCACTGAGGAAACCAGCTAATTTTCATTCTGAGTATTAAAAAAGTTCTGATAGAGTAGTCAAAGAATATATTACAAGATAATATGATTTTTTTTTTTTTTTTGCAATTTCCAACACAAATTAAAATATTAAAAGGAATACCCGCTACAGGACTGCTAGTTTATTTAAGAACGTTCTTGAATTATTATTAACTTCTGATCACTTGCTCTTGCTTCCTACCTAAAGAAAACGTTTTTACAGAAGTGAGATTTGAATGCTTCTTTTTATCACAGATAGTCAACTATTCTCACTCCAAATAGAGGGCATAGGAGCACTTACCAATTCTAGAATTAAGGTTAAGGGCAACTGCTAACAATGTTAGCCTATAATCTGTGGCTGCAGTCTGATGGGCAGATACTTAACTATCATTATGTGACCTTTACGTGAGCACAGTAGCAGAGCCTTTCTGCTTTGCTGAGCAGGAGAAGAGCTATTATTCTTGCGGTGAGGAGACAAGGGTGAAGAGGAAAAAATGGAATGGCCAGTTGCTCCACTAGCAAAGTTTTATAGCACCAGAGTACCAATGAATCAGCTGTGCAGCACGGTGAAAGCCACGGGCAAATCCTACCCTACAGCAATACCACTCTATGTGCCCTGAAAATGCTGCTATGGAACAAACTGTACTTCTCTAAAGGTTTTCGACAGCAAAGCCATCAGCAAGACCACCGTCTTTAAAAGCACACTCCTTTTGCTGTGGTGACAGTCTCTGCCCGCCATCTGCAATGCGCAGCTGAATAGCCTGTATTGTCTGCAGCAGATGGCAAAGGTATGCATTTGTTATCGTAGTTGAAGTGATCTTTCTCTTCCCTTTAGGGCTGCTCACATTTGGCACTTGCCTGTGCTCCTGGTGGGCTCTGCCTGCCCGCAGATGTGAGCTAGAGTTCCTCGGTGCAGCGCAGCAAAGCACTTTACACACAGCAGTACCCCTGCAAATGCCAAGGAGCAGCGCCGCTGCCAATGCAGGAGGAACTTTGCACAAAGTACGTTTATTAGCTGTGACATACAGCACAGCATTTTCAAAGAGCTAAGGAAAAAGACAGCTGCTGCAGTTTCCCTAATTACCTTTCCCCAGACGTCAACAGTAATTTACAATTTGGATGATATTGCTGGAACTAAGTACAATTTAGATCCACACACAAGCTCTCCTCCTCACTTTTATAGGCCATGTGTTATATGAAAATTACTGCTATTCAAACTGTTTCTATGACTTAGGTTATCTTCTGTCAGGTTTTTTACTGCACATTCTTCTTTTGCTACTGGAATATACAGAATTTGCTGTAGACAGTAATCAGATAATCACATCTTGTTTCAAGCACAAGCTAGCAGGATTTGCTACTCGAAACTCTCTAATTTATCACATCAAAGCTAAAAAACATTTGGGATGCTTAGTAAAAATTATGCTTCTTAACATACGCTCTATTGCAACAACAAAAAAATCTGTATACAACAAGGACAACATTAATCTCATATAAATCCAAATTCAATTCTAAATTATTCCACTACTCTGGTGTTTAAAAATATGTTGTATGTTCAGCTACAGCTTCTGCTAACTAAAATCTAAAAGGATGAATATAAAGTCTGACATATTAAGACATCATCAACAATTGATCTTAATTGCACAAAGATAATAAAACATTTCAAACAGTTGTACCCTTGAAAGATGAAAAGCTTTCCTCTGCTGGCAGTAGCTCTGAACTGCTTTGCTCACAAGAGGTGCCATTTAAAAAAAACAAATGCAAGGTAAAACTTAAAATTCACACAGATGCACAAAATTGCTAAGACTAATATTCTAGGCCTAACAGCACACTTGGGTAAATGAGAAGTAAAAAGAAATCAGATCAAATTATTACTTGCAAGCACTGAGAATAAAGATTATGCCAACAGAGACTCGTTACGTGGATCCAGGAGTTTACTGATGCTTTGCATAATTAAATAAGCAACTCTTGTTTCTACAGTGACTTAGACCCACACAGTATCTACTCGTTGTGGTGCCCTGCTCTCCTTAATAGATGTGTAGCGAGCGTTTTGTGGCTTTATCACTACACAATTGTACGTCTCTTCTCAATCATGCTGTGAGTCAATTGAGACGATGAGACTTACCCATGTTTTTCTGGATTCTGCTCTGTCAAAATTTCACTGCTGCTTTCGTCAATAGGAAGCATCCGAACAATATATTCTCCACTCTGCTGGAAAAACTTATAAACAGCCACTTGAACTACGCATTGGTCACTGCTGCTTCTCAGCCAGGGGCTCAGGATGACAGGGCTCTCAGATGCATTAAGGAACAGGAAATAACCTAGGACAGATAAGGCAATAATAAAGCTTTAAGGAAAAAAGAAAAAGACAAAAAAAAATATTGCAGTGCACAGATTAGTGCTTGTAATTTTTATGCCACAACTTATTCAGCATTCTCAGTCATTCTGATATTATTGTTGCCACCTACTTTGGAAAGTGTGCCCTTGAAGGGGTGTTAAACCCTTTATGATCTTCAAAGGCAAGCAACATTTCAATTTGCAGTTGCATTGTTCAAAACAAAGATGATATCTAGATTTAACTCTGGAAAGAAAAGGCATAAAGAAAAAAAAAAAAGCCTATAAATAATATTAGAGGGAAAAACAAGAAACAACAAAAAGAAAAATCAGTCAACCTAATTTTCCTACAGAGACTTCCAGATTTAAGCCCAGGCAAGCAACTAAAGAAGTTAATGTTTGGATTCTTGTTTTTATGTACTTATTACTGCCTGGACTTTATTCCTACCTCTGCAACTTCCCAAATGTGGTCTAGAGTCAAACATTATGGCCTTCATCCAGTGGCATCCTGATTAGACAAGGTCAAGTATTATAACAGATCTTGGTATCTGTTCTTCTCACACAAATAAAGAACACATTTGAAAGCTCTATGTTTGCTCTTCTAAAACAGAAGAGATCAGCATTCTTAAGTCACTGGAGTCAGGATAAAACCTTGATATTTTATTTCTTTAGCAATTCTTTCTAATGTATTAATTTTGTATTTTACATGAATTAGCAGTACGTATCGCTCTGCACTCCAGCACTGGGGCTGTGCCCACTGCCCTGGGTGGCCTGTGCCATACCCACTGCCTCTGGGGCAAAGCCTTTCCCTCACCCCCTGACCCTCCACTGGCACAGCTCCATGCCATTCCCTCTCTGTATCGACCCTTCTCCATCTTTGCAGCCCTCCTTTGGATGCTCTCTAACAGCTTTATGTCCTTACACTGTGGCACCCAGACTGCACCCAGTGCTGGAGGTGAGGCCGCACAGCGCAGAGCAGAGGGGACAGCCCCTCCCTGGCCATGTTGCAGCGCTGGGCCTGGTGCCCCCCAGGGGCAGTAGGTCCCTGTGGCTGCCAGGGACACTGCTGGTTCATGTTCAACTTGCCGTTGTCCACAACCCCCAGATTCCTTCCTTGGGGCTGCTCCCGCCCCCCAGTCTGTACGTGTATCCAAGGTTCCCCCAACACAGGTGCAAAACCCAACATGGCTCTTCTTAAACTTCATGTGGTTGGTGATTACCCAGCCCCCTGATTTGCCAAGATCTCTGCAAGACCTCTCTGTGCTTGAGGGAGTCAATTGGTTCTCCCAATTCAGCACTGTCAACAGACTTAATTAGGATAGTCCTTCATGGAGTCACTGATGAAAACACTGAAGAAAACTAGCACTACGTGACCAAACCGGTGACTGGCCACCAGCCTGATGTAACCCCATTTATTGCAACCCTTTGTGCCTGACCCATCAGCCTGCTGCTCACCCATCGCATCATGCCGTTGTCTAGTTGTATGCTGGGCACTTTGTCCAGAGGAGACTGTGAGAAACAGTACTGAAAGATTTGCTGAATCCAAAAAGATTACAACAACTGGTCACCTTGGTCAACTAGGTGGCTAGTCTTGTCTCAAAACGAGATTCAGTTTGTTAAGCAAGATTTTCCCCTTTCGAACCCAGGTTGGTTGTGACAAATAATTGCATTGCCTTTTAGGTGTTTTTCAATAACTCCCAGAATAATCTTCTCCATAATTTCAGTACCATTTGAGGCTTATCCAGTTGGACAGAAGTAATGCATTTTTTATTACACTGTTGCACATTTCAGGTAAATCAAATTACTCTCTTTTCATAGTTGACCAATTTACCAATTTTCCCACAGAGCAAGCACATTGAGGTGTGTAGTCAGGTAAATGAAAGGTCAGTCAGGTAAATGGAAGGGATCAACACTTGAAGCAAGGAAAATTGTTAAATTCCACAGATTGTATGTAGCAAGACTGGTTAGATGTTCAGAAAACAGGATTTTGCTTCCTGCATTGTCCACCAAAAAAACGTTTGTTAGTACTTAAAACATACAGACCTCAAAAACCCTTTAATTTCATAGAGACAGAAATTAAGGCCCAACAAGGCTGTAATAAAAAACAGTTTATGCAGCAGCTTTTTTTTTTTTTTTTTTTTTTTTTTTTTTTAATATAAAGGCTGGATTTTCAGAGGAATCTTTTTCCATGCGGCTGAGTAGATACTGCCTAAAGCTCTGCTGAGACCCACAGTGGGTAAGAAATCCTGTGGAGCCACAAATGCATGATGCTCACCTTCACACTGGTGTGTGCCAGCCATTCTCAGCTCCCATGACAGTTTGTCTCATCCTAAAAGGATCTGATTAATTGCCCTTCAGCAGGTCCCACTTCTTTCCACTGAGTTGAATCACGAGCTCAGATTTTAATCTCGCTGTCACATGCCAATTTAGAACTTGGGAATTGTACTTATGCTCACAAATGTCCCCCACTTTGAAAAAAACTAATTTGGCAGTTAATCTCAGGTTGAATAGAGTAATACCAGAAAGGCTAAAAATGAAATTCAGACTCTTATCAACCACTATATTTCATCCCATACACACACTTATCATAAAGAGCATTTTTGACATGCTTGTCAAAAACAGTCTTCTTGACATTACATCACATCAATGACATATCTAAAACTAGAAAATATTTGTACTGAAAGAAACAAGCAGAAATAGATAAGGTACAGCCTTGTCAGATGTCAAGGCTTGTAAATGAAGAACTGAAATGTATTTGCTACTTTTCTATTAATAAGATTCCTTTATATGAAATAGTAGCCTTTAATCCAGTTACTAAAGGAATGGCTTGAGGAGTTTAAACAAACTCTGTCATTGTTAGTTTTATATACACAATATTTTTGCTGGTCAGTAAAATAAAAACAGAAACCCAACCATACGTTTCATACTTCTCTCCTTTTATAGCCAACAAAATAGAATTAGAGCACTAAATCTTGTGGCTTTAATTGTATCATCCACATAAGAACACTAATCCCCAACATGACAAGGATCAAAAAGACTTCTGCTGGTGGCAGAAAAGCACTAAGCACTGCAGTGATTGCTGATGATAATGTGACAGGTGTAAGAACCATTTGCTCACCTTACCATCTTGCCACAGAAAGTTTTTTAACGTAACAAAGAAACAAATAGAAAGCTCTCATTCCTTTTTCCTTTTTTTTTTTCTTTTCTTTTCTTTTTCTTTTTTTTTCCCTCGCAGTGAGTAAATAAACAAGTATACTCTCTCCATCCTGACCTAGGACTTGACTAGTAGCAAACATGACTAGCTGCCACAATAAATACCGTAGTTGCTAACCTCCTATGCCTTGGCTATAGAATCATAGAATCACAAGGTTGGAAACGACCTACAAGATTATCCAGTCCAACTGTCTCCTCATCACCATTGCCACCACCAGCACTAAACCATATCACGCAGCACGTCATCCAGACTCCTCTTGAACATTGCCAGGGATGGCGACTCCACCACCTTTCTGGGCAGCCATTCCAGTGCCTGACCACTCTCTGAGAGAAAAAGTTCTTCCTTATGTCCAACCTAAACCTCCTCTGGTACAACTTGCGGCCATTACCCCTTGTCCTGCTTGTTGCCTGGGAGAAGAGGCTCTTCACCACAACCTCCCTGCAGGAAGTTGTACAGTGCAATGAGGTCTCCCCTGAGCCTCCTCTTCTCCAGACTGAACAATCCCAGCTCCCTCAGCCGCTCCTCATAAGACTTGTGCTCCAGACCCCTCACCAGTTTTATTGCCCTTCTCTGGACACGCTCCAGGACCTCAACATCTTTTCTGTAGTGAGGAGCCCAAAACTGAACACAGCACTCAAGGTGCGGCCTCACCAGAGCTGAGTACAGGGGGATGATCACCTCCCTGCTCCTGCTGGCCACACTATTTCTAATGCAGGCCAGGATGCCGTTGGTCCTCTTGGCCACCTGGGCACACTGTCGGCTCATGTTCAGCTGAGCATCAACCAACACCCCCAGGTCCTTCTCTTCTTCACACTCATCCAGCCACTCATCCCCAAGCCTATACCGCTGCATGGAGTTGTTGTGCCCAAAGTGCAGGACCTGACATTTGGCCTTGTTGAACCTCATCCCATTCACCTCAGCCCAGCGGTCCAGCCTGTCTAAATCCCTCTGCAGGGCCTCCCTACTCTCAGGCAGATTGACACCACCTCCCAACTTGGTGTCATCTGCAAACTTGCTGAGGGTGCACACAATGCCCTCATCTAGGTCATTAATAAAGACATTAAACAAGATGGGCCCCAGTACCGACCCCTGGGGGCACCAATTGAAACAGGTCATCAGCTGGACTTCACCCCATTCACCACGACGCGCTGGGCACAGCCCTGTAGCCAGTTCCTTACCCAAAGAAGTGTATACCTCTCCAGGCCACGGGCAGCCAGTTTCCCCAGAAGAAGCCTGTGAGAGACCATGTCAAACTTACAAACTTACAAACTTAAATTTACTTACAGGGTTTACCTTGCACAATTTTGGCTTATTAACCATCGCGAGGATAAGTCTACCTGCTGGTTTATATTGCTAAAAGGAATACAGTTCTGCCACAGTGGAAAGCTACCCCGCCATACTTGCACAGGATGTTAGGAATAGCCCCAAACTACTCTGCTGTGGAGCAATGCCTAGAAAATCATTCTGAAAGACGTAACTATTCAGCAGCATTGGCCACACAAACAGTACTCAGTCAGAAACGTCCTGTGGAGGCAAGTATTAAAGCCAAAACAGATTATCTTTTTATTCTCATCATTTATAAATAAATGAAGGAGAGCATAAATACAACTTTGTCTTGCTTCTGAAAGCTCAGCCATCTTGCAGGTGACAATACTGTCTGCTGTGGAACTCTTTTTGCTCTTACTGCTAACCTGATTTGTAAATCCTATGAAAGAAGTATCAGAGTAGCACCTGGTCCTGTTATTCAGAGTGTTTTCATACTTAAAATGAGAG